TGTCTTTCCTGGTGGTACTGGTGTTGGGGAGTCTGTGTCTTCTCTGATGATAATAGTGTTGGGAGTCCATGTCTTCCCTGATGGTACTGGTGAGATCACGTTTGTGCCTGGTGGTGGCAGGGTCCTGCTCTCAGTGCATCTGGGCCCACATTGAAAAATACGGATTCCTGTTTCTCAGCGGGGCCCTTCTCTCTCCCTGCCCTGAAGCTGAATTACTGCTTGCTGTGATGTGCGTTCAGGACATAAGAAAATTGCTGTCGGCTCATTTGTCCCTGTTACACCTAAGTCATATCTTCTAGGGGCACGGATGTTCCCGTGGAAGCTGTGCTTTGAAAATGTCGTGTTGAACTTGGCATTTCCCACATCCTTCCTTTCCCTTCAAGGGCATTTCTGTCCTGAGTGTCCCTGAGTCCCTGCAGGCTTTGGAGTTGTGTTGGGGGTACGACTGTCCACCCTGTTCAGTGTCCTGCAGGCCATCAGGAAGACAGTGTGTGACTGGGAAGCTGGACACGAGCCCTTCAACGACCCAGCTCTGAGGGGAGAGAAGGACCCAAAGAGCGGCTTTGACATCAAAGTGCCCAGGCGCGCCGTGGGACCCTCCAGCACCCAGGTTCTCCCCCCAGCCCGTTCTGCCCCCTCAGTGGTCGTGGTGATTCTCCTCTGGGAGGGCTGCATGTGAACCGAGGGGAGGGTGAGCACTGAATAGTCTGAGGACAATGCCTCCTGCTTGTGTGTATATAGAGATAACACATACACACAAGTGTTGTCTTCCAAAAAATGCATAAAAGAGCAAGTATTCAAGGCCTGGCTGGCTCTGATGCTCTTTGCCTCTAGCCATGGGGAACAATTCTCTGAAACAAAACCCAAGATAATATGTGGCACTCTAAGATAATTAATGTGCATTCAGAAGTTCATTTGCCTCTATGTCAACTCTTGCCTTAAAAATGTGGGTTCATGTCTCTTGTGTGTCTCTTTAGACTGTGTGTCTTGATCAATGCTCGTGTGTAATTGTAATTTTCACAATAGTCAACAGACTCCATAAGAGTGGAAATGAAAAATGTTGCTCTCATGTGTGATGAGTCTGAGACCACCAATCCTCTTCTGTCTTCTGAGCATGTTTCCCTGATTTTCATTAGCTGCCTTTAATATGCTACCTTCTTCTCCCACTCTAGAACCTGGTACTTCTTACTTACCTTCTGTGTGCTTTTATAATAATCTCATCCATAAATCTTCTAGAAAAGTGCCATCGAAGCACATTTCATGTCTAAATGAAACCTCTCTGCGAGGTTAGTCTGAGAGGAGGGTCTTGGTATCCTCTTGGAGGCAACCCCCTTGGTGTCTGTCTGCTGCCCCTGTGAATGTGTGTTGTCACTAACGGATCTCTCCCACCTCTCCCCCCCCGTCTGTTGGTGTTTAGCTTTACATGGTGCGCACCATGGCAGAGTCCTTGAGTTCTGCTGAGCTCCTTCGGCAGCTCAAGTCTTTGGGGATGGAAAGGCTCTTGCATGTGGTAAACGCGTTTCTGAGGCAGTCGTACATCTATCCGCCTCTTTTAACCTTTGGTGGTAAGACATCGCTTCATTTTTTTGTTGTTGTTGTTGACATTCACAGCACAGAGGTGAACTGTTCCGCTACAAGTTACTCTTTCTCCTGGGCAGCTGGGTGGCAGCTGCCAGTCCTGGAGGAGGCACCCGGCTGGCTGGCGTGGGTGTTGGCCTATGCAGCTCTCTCCTGCCCCACGCAGGCACCGGGCAGGTTGTAGCGGAGCAGTCCTTCTCTGGGGAGTTCTCTTGAGTTTGGCCTGTCTAATGTACTATGTATTTTCTCCCCTGCAAATGTTTCCTTGGCTGATGCAGCTTTACATGGTGAGAACCATGCTAGAGTCCCTCATTGCAGACAAAAGTGGTTCCAAGAAAACCTTGAGAAGTAGCCTTGAGGGCCCTACCATATTGGACATAGAAAAATTTCATCGAGAGTCATTCTTCTACACTCACTTGATAAATTTCAGTGGTAAGAGACTGACAGCCGCACCCAGCCACATGCTCTAACACCGCTAACGCCTTCAGAATGCTTCCAGTGCTTGGCCACCTGTGCAGGCCCCCACCCCAGGCATGTGGGATCGTGAGTGCATGTGGCGGGGAGAGGTTCACCAACACCACGTGTGATGTGGCTGCTAGAATAGGCCACAGGCCTGAGGGGGCCACAAACACAGGCAGATGTAACCTGCTGTCTGTGTCTCGAGGCAGGCAGAGATACAAAGTCCAGAAGTTGGACCCCCAACAAAGATGGGCCTGACCTGGTCACAGGTAGAAGGGACAGGTTGCCTTCTTCCTGGGGACCTCTGGCCATGCTGACCTGTGCAGGACCACACTCAAAACCCTCACACATGTCTGTGTGGGTCCTCACAACGTCCATGTTCACCCCTGCACCCGCTTACCTTGTCCTCAGCTATGACACTGCATCAGAGTAACATGTTGGAGTTTTAACTCTAAAAGAGTTGGGACATTCTACTGAAAACTGCCTTAATTTTCGCATTGTATTAATCCTGTACTGGTTGTGCATGTTTTGATGTACCCTCGAGGTTGGTTCTTAGTCTAAAGAAAAATAATTCACCTTGTTTCTTCATTTAAAACATGACTTTTTTTTCTCATGGTCCCTTTGAGGGCCTGGTGGGGTTGAGGAGGTCCTGTTGCAGGTGCATAGGGCCCCCTCTGGATGTGGGTGCTGACCCTCGGTGAGGGTGCCTGTGTGGGTTAGGGTGGCCGCTGTGTGCACAGACATCTGTGGTTGTTTGTACCCTGGTGTAGGCACATGGCACCTGCCCACATGCTCGTGGCCACCCCTGCTGGGTCAGGGAGACGTCACTTTCTTGAGTTTCTTTGTGCCGTGGAACATTAACGGGATGTTGTTTTGGTTCTTAAAGAGACGCTGCAGCAGTGCTGTGACCTCTCACAGCTGTGGTTCCGAGAGTTCTTCTTGGAGCTGACCATGGGCAGGAGAATCCAGTTCCCCATTGAGATGTCGATGCCCTGGATTCTGACCGACCACATCTTAGAGACCAAAGAGGCATCGATGATGGAGTGAGCATCCCGGGGAGGTGGTCCTTTCTGGTCCAGGCACCACAGGAGCTGGGAGATGGGACAAAGGGACTGGGCTGGTGCTGGGGTTTCATTTGGAAGCTTATAAGGCTAAGTTTCTTGCTGTTGAATTGAAACTAAGAATCCTGTGTATGGGTCCCATGCTGGGACCAGGCACGACCAGGAAGTAAAATGCTGGATGCTGGACCTTCCCCACGCTCAGCACTGACTTGCCTGGTGCAGTACCAGGGAAGGGGGTGCCCTCTTGCATCCCTGACCCATCTGACACCAGGAAGGAATTGTTCATTAAACAGCTGTTCTTTGAGGGAGGGGATGTAGAGTCTTTAAAAATATAAAGTCCTTGGAATGAAAAATAATCCCAAATGGAATATCCTGTGGTGAAGAGATTGGGTAGCCAATGGACTGTGTGTGCTTGTGCGGCCCACCATAGACATGCTCAGGACAGCGGCATCTATGGTCTTCCAAGGCTCCCTTCTTATTGATGGGGAGTTGCCATGTGGCTGTATTGGGTCTCCATGGTTGGATGTGGGATTCTGCGTGATGCTGCCTGGCTTACATGCTAGAGCCTCAAGTTGGGACCTCCTGCCTGGCAGAGGCTTTCAGAAGGAAGGCCTTGTGGCTGTCTTTTCTCTTGACCCAGGGTAGAATGAAGAAGGACGCTTGGCCATGGGCCAGTGCTAGACCAGGCCTATGGTTGTGGTGGGACTGCGACTGCTAGGCATTTCATTCTCCAAAATGAGAAAATACTGATTTTTGTTGCTATAAAAAATATTATTCGGTGTGGTGGTAGTGTGCTGTGGAGTTGGTTCTCACTCACAGCAACCCTGCATAGGCTTTCCAAGGCTGTAAATCTTTACAGAACAGAAAGCATCCTGTTTCTCCTGCGGAACCGCTGGTAGTTTCAAACTGCTGACCTTGTGGTTAGCAGCCCGACTCGTAAGCACTACTCTACCAGAGTTCCTTAAACACTAAAAACTTACCTAACGTTTTTGTTTTCACGTGAGAGAGGAAAGAATGACAGATTACATTTCCTAGGGGTTGGGAAGTTAGAGGTGGGTGTGCTCCCGGGTATGGGCTCGGCTTTGAGCAGCAGCTGACGGCTGCCCCTCCCACAGGTACGTGCTGTATTCTCTCGACCTGTACAACGACAGTGCACACTACGCCCTCACCAAGTTCAGCAAGCAGTTTCTCTACGACGAGATCGAGGCTGAGGTGAGCGGCTCATTCCAAAACAATGACGGTCAAAGGTGTTAAGCTTTTTATTTTTAAATGCTAGACAATTTTGAATGAAATAAACTTTTGAGAGCACATTTTGATGTGAGTCCCCTACAGTTCTCTCTATCTACACATGAAAAGGCATGCTGCCTATGTGCTCTTTACCAGATAACAGCTCATCAGTATTTTCTCATATTCTAGCCTATTGTATATTACAAGCATACCGTAAGACAGGTGTTTGTATTCAATAGAATGGATCCAACCAGTCTCTTCTGTTTCGTGCACAGACATATTTAGGAGATGATTCTGTCTCCAGGTGAACCTTAAGAGCATTTACTCCTGATAATCCCAGCAGATTGCTTTTGCATTTTATGGGTTTTGTGTTTCTGGGCTTAAATCCTCTGTCTTCTTATAAGGAGCACTTGAAAGTGATTCTTCAGAGACTGTGTTCTGGCTCCCTGGGCAGCTGCTGGTTGGGTGACCCCCTCCCCCCGCCCCCGTTCCTATCTGTCAGGGCCTTGAATCCAGTAGAGCAGGGCTCTCCTCCTTGTATCCTGTTCACAGCTGTGTGCGGTGGGTTCTAGCCCCCTTTGCAAGCAAGAATATGTGTTTTAGCAATGAAGTTTCTGGGAAGAAGTCCACTGTGGTGTCTGTCCATGGAGTCATTTCCATGCCAAGTGTAGCTGCCCTGTCCCTTCCCCACAACAAGCTCCAGGGTGGGAGTAGGGGGTCCTAGAAGCCAGTGCAGGTTAAGCCCATAAGCCCGCAGATCACAGTAAGAAGAACGTCTTCATATTCCTGTGTACCTAAGAGGATAAGAACATTTTTATCCCTGGTAGGAATCCTGATGAATTCCATTCAATGCTTATGTCTGGTCACACAAATAACTTGCTTTGACTTCTTGCTGGACAGTTAGGTCATTTCTAGTTCTCTCTTAGTCGCCTTAACAACAAATAATATATTTTTAAGTTGTGTTATTTGGTCTGGATTTAAGGGATCAAAGTCTAAAATGTGTGTTCTTTTCATTCAGGTGAATCTGTGTTTTGACCAGTTTGTGTATAAGCTAGCAGATCAGATATTTGCATATTATAAGGTTATGGCGGGAAGGTGAGTGTCTGGTTTGTGATTTCTGGGTTTTTTTGGAGGGGATAGTAAAAATAGATATGCAACACACCATGCATCCACTCAACAATTTTTACATATGCAGTTCACTGACATTGGTTACTTTCTTCACTTTGTAATACCATTTTCAGTCTCTTGTTTCATCACTGAAAACTTCTCCTCTCTGTCCCTTAAAGGTCTCTTCTGGTGCTGCAGGGGCAAGGTTGTTAGTTTAATCTCATATAAATAATTCTCTAAAGGCACAATGCTCAAGGAAAACAGTCATTATTAATTCATCTCAAATCTTGCTGAGTTTATATAGTTTTGATTTTGATACTAAATCTTTGGTAACTTGATTTGATTTTTCCATTAAAACGTAACAGTGCTTGAAAAGTTTTCCCTCTCTCTCTTAGTTTGCTTCTTGATAAACGGTTACGTTCGGAATGTAAGAATCAAGGCGCAACTATCCACCTGCCACCATCCAACCGTTACGAAACACTGCTCAAACAGAGGCACGTGCAGGTGCGTGAAATGCTTTCCTGGGTCATAGTGGAAAGGAGCTGCATATAATAGAAAATGTTGGAACTTTTTATGTAAGCTAACTTTTTTTTACAAATATTTTTCTAAACCTTTTACTTATTTTGTAGTTGAGAATACAGACAGCAAAACACACACGAATTCAACAATTTCTGTATGTACCACTAAGTAACATCCATTACGTCCTTCAAGTTGTGCAAACATTTTCACCTTCATTTTCTGAATTGTTTGTCCACATTTAACATAAATTTACGATACCCTAAAGTACATGTTTCCTCGGGAGAAAGATAAGGCTTTCTGCTCCCGTAAAGATTTACAGCCTCAGAAACCCTGTACAGGGTCGCTCTGAGTTGGAACTGACTCCACAGCACATAACCACCACCACCACCACCAAAGTTCGTGCATAACCTTTTTAGAGTTGTTGTCAGTTTGAGTCCATATAGCCAGTTCTTAAAAGAACCCATTGCTCAGCATAAACATTTTTTCTTAATTAAACTAAATTATTTAATGGTTGTAAGAAAACTTCTGCCAATAGTTTTTTGTTTTTAGGTTTAAAGATGATCTCAGGGCAATAGTTTCAGGCATTCACCTAGCCTTCATGACTCCAGAAAGTTTGGAATCTGTGAGGATTTGAAATTCTGGTCTGCATCTCGCTCTGTTTCATCCAGAGTCTTCTGTAGAGTGTTCAGTAATGACTGCCAGGCACCATCCTGTTCTTTTGGCAAAGAAGGCGGTTGTAGATGAAGGCAGTTAGCAACACATTCCACATCTTCCTTCTGTTCTGACCTTTCCTTTTACTCTGTTGCGTCAGGTGACTAGAGATCAATTTTTCTTTGCCACTAGTTATAGTTAACTACGGAGTCTTGGTGCAGCGCTGTGGGTTAGTGAGCTGGACTGCAAAAGCAGTTTGAGCCGCAAGGTCAGGGGTTCAAGCTCACCAGCTGCTCCTTGGGAAACCCTATACACGGTTGCTACGGGTCGCAACCTACTCGACGGCACTTAACAACATAACTAATGGTGAGGTAGTTTTTAAAGGTTCATTTGTTCAACGATTAAAGTCTTGCATGATACGAGTTCAGACCACAGTAATCCAGGTCGGGTTCTATCTATATAATAATTTCTCCTAATATGAAAGGACAAGAGAAATAAGGCCTACTTCACTGAAGTGCCTTATAAAACTAAATGAAATTATCTTAATTTACAAAATAATATACATACCCTAGAACAACGGAGTCCTGGTGAGGCGCTGTGAGTTAATGCGCCAGACTACAAAGCCATTTGAACTGCAAGGTTGGCCGTTCAAGCTCACCAGCTGCCCCTCGGAAACCCTATACAGGGTTGTTTTGGGTTGAAATTGACTCGACGGCACTTAACAACAACAACCCTAGAACAGGGTTTGTTACGATGGCAGAGCCTGGTAATTGCATAAAGCTTAAACCTTTATAATCAGAGGTACAATTCCTCTTTTTAATAGTGTTTGTTACTAACCTCTTGCCGTCTGAATGCTTTCCTCACGCTATGAAAAGTATTAGGGTACATGCAACTTCGTAAAGGTCCTAACGCTGTAGGGCCTTACTGACTTCTACAATCTATTGCAGATGCAGGAAAACTTTTCACCAAAGAACCGCTTTGTCCCCAAACCTCCTCTATGCTAATATTTATCATTGCCCCTATTTTAGCTCTTACCTTAGCACTAACTATATGAATTCTGCCCCCCTCCCCCAAAAAAAAGGATATCTGGGTTTTAATAGATATCAGTACATTGTGTGTGTGTGTGAACAGACTTATGAAGTATGAAAAGCTAAAGGAAAGAGCTGTTTCCGTTACAGCGAGCGTGAAGGGTGATTGGCAGTGTTTGCTGCTGTTGGTCTGTTTGCCAGTGCTACTGTATATAGGTCGTTCCTCTTTCCGTTCAAATGCCAGAAGCTTTAAAACAGTGAAGGTGAGAAACACTCATTAGCTAAGCTAGTGTCAGAAACAAGTTTTCTCCTAACCGGAACGAAAAATAAAAATATACAGTCCGTGTGTTTTGTTATTTTCACAAGCAGACAGATGTCCAGACCCCAACCCCATTGTTGTTAGGTCCATTTGAACTCGTCTTGACCCCCCAGTAGTGTAGGTAAGAACTGCCCTGTCAAGTTTCTAACGCAGCAGATTGCGGCTAGGTCTTGGTCCTGTGGAATGATGGGTAGGATCTAACTGTTGGCCTTTGCTTTGACCAATGAGCACTTTAACCACTGTGCCCTGGGCTCCTTTTTTAAAATTTACATTATTTGGGATTTTCCCCATTATCTTTTTGTTATACAACAAAAAGAATATTCTATATAGTGTTGCTATGCGTTACAACCGACTGGATGGCAGTTAACAATATGTATGTATGTATGTATATATATATATATATATATATATACATATACACATATATATGGAGCTCTGGTAACATAGTGGTTACGAATTGGGCTACTAACCTCAAGGTTGGCAGTTCGAAACTACCAGTGGTTCTGCAGAAGAAAGAGGAGGCTTTCTGCTCCCATAAAGATTTACAGCCTCAGAAACCTTGTACAGAGTCACTATGAGTCGGAACCGACTCCACGGTACTTAACAACAACTACATATATATATGTATGTATGTGTTTCTACGGAGTCCTGGTGTGGCGCTGTTGGATCAGCACTGGACTGCAAGGTCAGTTTGAACCGCCGACCTTGCAGTTCGGATGTAAAAATGGTGGTGAGTTAAGACTTCTGGCTTCACAAGGGGGAGAGAGACTCAAACTCAAAATCAACCCAAGCTGCCAATTTCTTGTGAGACCGAGGTCTGACATACGTCCACCCTCTGACTGTCTCTGCCCTCTCTGACACTAGCCATGCTCCCACAGGCCTCACCTATGGGCTCGGTGATTCTTTGCAGTGGCCACAGCACTAATTCATAGTCAGTGCTCATCATTCTGGGATTTATTGTTGGTAAGTGCTGTCTAATCAGTTCCAACTCCTAGTGACCCTGTGTAGGGTTTCCAAGGCTGAAATTTTTGTGGGAGCAGAAACCCTCATCTTTCTCTTGTGGAGCAGCTGGTGACCATGAACTGTCAGCCTTGTGGGTCGCAGTCCAGTGTTTATCCTACAGAGCTACCATACTCCCATGAGGTTTACTAGGGAAGTGAGAAGGGTATACTTTAGGGTCAACAGTTCTCCCTTCAGGAATGCTTCTTCTTTGCCATACTGCAGCCTAGGTCTATCTTGACCCCTCAGCCACATGGTCCCTAGGCCTCTGTCCTGTTCAGACGAGTGTTACAAAGCTCCTTATGCCAGTCTATAAATGTCCAAAGGGCACATTTTGCAAGCCAGACTCCTGCCCATAGGCACTTGGCTCTTCCCCGTCCATGGGCTGGGAAGCCGGCAGCTGCTCTGTTTCTCCTTTTAACTGCTTTTCCAGAAAGGGGTCTCACACTCTCCACTGATGGCTCTTCTTTTTTGATGGTCCTGGGATCATCTGTTCCTGTTTCTGACTTGGCTCTTTTTAATTAAACCTAGTCAGATGCCAAAATCCATCAATCCCTGCATTAGAGTTCTGTCACTATTTGCATGGTCCCACCCAAGCATTTGGTAGGGGTTAAAGACACTGGATAGAAAAGCCATAGTACCACAATATAACAAAAAGGAAACTGGGGAAATCCCACGTAATTCTACTATCTAACGTCAAACCATCATTTCCATCTGGGACTTGTTTTGACTAGTCCATTCAGATGTTTGATACTGTGATACAGAAAGGGTCCTAGAACTGTGCCACAGAAATGGAGTGGTTTTGTTGGTTTGTCGTGCGAAGGCCCTGAAAGGTAGGACTGCAAAGGACCGGCTGGGTGAGATGGTCTGAGTACAAGGATAAGGAATGTGTTGGTTAACAGACCCAGATTCTAAGGGCTTTGATGAGTCCTAGGGTAATTCTATGATGTTAAGAGTAAATTCAGTGCTGAGTATGCTACAAAAGTCCTAAGACTGTGTAACTTCCAAAATCACAATTCTAGGAAAGTAGGGTATTTGATTAATTGGCGTGGCACTGTGGGATAAAGCATTGGACCACAAGGTCAGTTTGAGTGATAAGATCAGTGCGGTTGAAATTCACCAGCCATTCCTTGGAAAACCTGGACAGAGTTGCTGTGAGTAGGAACTGAATCGATGGCATGTAACAATAACAGTATGTAATTTCATCTTAAAATGTTATCATTTCCACTGCACCATTCTGTGTTGGTTTCCCGGGGGCTGCTGTAATGGATTGCCATAAACTTTGATGGTTAAAGACAATAGAAATTTGTTTTTGAGACCACAGGTGTGTAACCAAGTATCCACAGGAAAATTCTTTCGTCTCCCAGTTTCTGGTGGTCCCTGGTATTTGGTATTTCTTCACTTGTGACAGTGTAACTGTTTGCCTCCGACTTTCTCCCTTCCAGTATCAGATCTCCTCCTTTTTTTTTTTTTTTTTTACAAGGTCCCCCATAATTCACATTTGTCCCACATGCAAAATGAACATTCTCTCCATTCCAACATCCCCGTAAGTCTTAATTCATTCTAGCCTTAACTCTTAACTCTAAGATCTCATCTAAATACCAACTAAACCAAAGTCCCAAATCTCATCAGCTGGATCAGATATAAATGAGACTGGTTGTGATTTTGTCCATCTGTGGACCTGCTTCTGAAATACGGGCCGGTCATAGGATAGACAGTCTTATTCTAAAAGGAAGAAATTGAAAGAATAAAGGGGTCACTGCCCTAAGCAAGTTCAAAGCCCATTAGAGAAAATTCCATCAGGTCTGAGACCTGAGAATAATCCTCTGTGCTTGCACACATCTTCGGAGGGCCCATCAGTTCTTATCTCTGGCCCGTCCTTTCTGGCCCTTGCTCTTGATCAGCAGCCTTGGACAGCAGTTTCTTTTTTCTTGAAGGATAGCACGTTTGTAGCTTCATGGCTTTCAGGAATCCCTGGGTGGCACAAATGGTTAAGTGCTGGATACCTTAATTATTTAATCCACTGCCATCAAGTTCATCCTGGTTCATAGCAACCTTCTAGGACCAAGTACAACTGCTCCCTAGGGCTCCTGAGACAGTAAATCTTTAGGGGAGCAGAAAGCCTCATCTTTCTCCCTCAGAGCAGCTGGTGAGTTTGAACTGCCAATCTGGCAGCTAGCAGCCCAATGCTTAACCCACCATACCACTAGAACTTCTTAATTATCTAATATTGTTGTAACAAAAATATCAGACGTGGATAACTTTAACAAACAGAAATTTGTTCTTTTACAGTTTAAGAGGCAAAAACCTCCAGTGCTGGCTTTCAAAGGTTTTCTCTATCAACACTTGGGGAAGATCCATGTTTCCTTTAGACTTGGCATTCCTTACAGGTCTCCCTGTGTCTTTGTATCAATCTCCCTCCAGATCTAGGAACTTAATTGTAAAGGGCCCAGTTTCAAAGGACACATTCTACTCTTGGTTCCTCTTTCTTGATGGAAATAAGTCCTTGGGAAGTCTGGTTGTTTCTGTTTCCTTCTTACCTCTTAAAAGATGAAAGGTGTTGCAGGCCACACCCCAGGGAAACTCTACATCCAATTAGGGCTGTGATAGGATTAAGTGTGTTGCATCATGGAGGCAGCAGTTAAGAAATCAAAGGATGTATTGAATTGAACAAATCTTCCACAAAAACCTCTTGCAAGAGTTGAAGAAGAAAACCTGTCACTTTGAAGACTCAGGCGTACCTGACTCGGTCGTGTTATTTTCAATTGCCTATATCGGAAACCCTGTACAGGGTCGCTATGGGTCGGACCCGACTCAACGGCACTTAACAACAACAACAACAATACAATAAATAGGTAGACAATAAATAAGGAAGACAGGAGAAGAATCGATGCGTTTGAATTATGGTGTTGGTAAAGAATATTGACTGTGTCATAGATTATTTCGGAAGAAGTACAGCCAAATTGCTCCTTAGCAGTAAGGCTGGCAAGATTGCATCTCATGTGCTTTCGAGGCGTTATCAGGAGGAACCAGTCCTTGGGGAAGGACATCTTGCTTGGTAAAGCAGAGGGCCAGCGGAACAAGAGCAAGACCCTCAGTGAGATGGACAGACACAGTGGGTCAAACAGAACAACTGTCTGGATGGCATAAGACTGAGCACCTGCCAACAACTTTCCCGCCATCCATCCTTTTGATGGGCTATCACAGTAGGTCACGTCATGGGGGGGTCATTACACAACTGCCAGATACCTGAGAAACCCACCTCAGCCACATTGATGCATATTCTGTGGAGGGGGGGGATACAATTCAATCTATGATACTGGATGGCTGTCAGAAATGTTGGTGGTTCAAACATTTAACTCTGCAAACCTGGGGTCACCATGCTGCTAACAGCAATAGCAGTACCACTGAGAGTTCTCCACAGACCTTTTCTGGATGACCTCATCTCTGTTGACTTCTGCGAAGACTCCAGTGTGATGCTGGAGGATCAGCACTGGACTCCAAACCACAAGGTCGGTAGTTCAAATCCACCAGCTGCTCCTCGGAAACCCTGTATGGGGTTGCTATGAGTCGGAACCTACTGGACAGCACTTAACAACAACAAGATGGTTGATAGGATCCCCAAATTGCAAGCCTGATCTCTTTAGCCAGCGTTTCTCTAGCCCTTTCCTTAGCCTTCTTTCCATGACATCATGCTCTAGAATCTTTGGCAGTGGGGGCAGACTGAGAATTTTCAAAGTCATCATGTTCTGGTTCATTTTTGCACAGTTCCTTTCTCAGTTTATTTCTCTCTTCTCTCATTTTATTGTAAGCAGCAAGGAGAAACCAGCTGCACCTTCCACTTAGCTTGAAAATCACCTCAGGTAAATATCCAGCTTAGCTTTCTATATAATTGTAGAGTACGAGTCAGTGACAATACAATAAGGATCTCCTCCTTTTCTTGTTTACAATAACGTATTTCTCGTTTGCTTCTAAGGACTCACCAGCAAAATCTGTAACATCGTTAATTTTATCAATGGCTCTGCTCAAGGCAATCTAGGCTTTTTCTATCTCGTTTCTCAAAATAATTCTCGTCTTTGCTCATCACCCGACTCTACAACAATGTCCACAGTTTTACGTATTTGTTATAGCACTGCTCTCTTCAGTCCCAAAATCTGTATTCATTTTTCTGCCTTGCTGTGAAAAGTTGTCATAAACTGGTTGACTTAAAACCATTGGAATGTATGATCTCACAGCCAGAAGTCTAAAATCAAGATGTTGGCAGAGGCAACAAGAGGAACCTCTGAATGCCCCAGTGGATAATCCTTGTTCTTTTGATGGTTTCTAGCATCTTTTGGTTTGTGACGGCATTGAATCCCATCTCTCCTTTCTTCTCATGAGCTTCTTCTGTTTGTGTCAGACCTCCTGTGTCTTCACTCATTGGATTAAGGTCCTACGCTAGATCCAGAATGATTGACCTCAAGACCCTATTTCTACAAAGACCTTCTCACATTTTAATTAGGGTTATAGGTGTAGGGGGCCAGGACATAGACATAACTCTTGTGGGGGACACGATTCATTTCACTTCAGCTTTCTAAACTTTTATTTTTTTGTCTTTTGAAATAGTTTCTGGAGGGACTTCGTCTTTGCTTGTTTATGTTTTGTTGGTAAGATTTTAACCTGCTTTCCCTGACATCCCCGCCCCTCTCACCAGCTCCTCGGCAGATCAATAGACCTCAATCGTCTGATCACACAGCGTGTCTCGGCCGCCATGTATAAGTCACTGGAACTGGCAATTGGCAGATTTGAAAGTGAAGACCTGACATCTATTGTTGTGAGTACCCCCTACACCTACACAGCTCAGGAGATGTGATGGTAGCCTCCCAGCAGTGGAACTCAGTTTGCTTTTGTCATTATTGATAGGATCCACTTCTTGTATAAAAATGAAAAGATACTCACTAACTGAAATTGACATACCCTAGGTATTTGGTTTAGAGTGTTAGCATCTAAAAAAAAAAAGATTTACAAGTTTTACAAGTTTTCAGATGGTTAAAAAATTCTAAATTGATTTCAAAGAATAGGTAATCTTGAGCAAATTGTACCTACCTATGACAAAAGATAGTTACTTCATTAATATAAGTAACATGCTTATATTACAGTATATAAAGATTTGTTTTTTGTAACAAAAAGATGTTTTTGAAGTGAGCCTGATGTGATTAAATTTATACAAGAGAAATCTAAAAACTTCAGTGTGAATTAAGATAACTTAAGTATATGGTAAGAAAGTGCTTTGTTATGGGTGTAAGGACAACATTTCATAAAAGATAAAAGTGCCCAAACTAGCTGCAATTTAATTTTGTTGTTGTTAAGTGCCATCGAGTATCAGGTACGACTCATAGCGTATAGAGTATCCTGTGTAGGGTATCCAAAGCTGCAGTTCTTTGCGCGAGCAGGAAGCCTCATCTTTCTCCTGTAGGTTTAATGTAATCCCCACTGAATAGTAATATTTGATGTTATTGTTGTTCAGTGCCATCGAGTCAGTTCTGACTCATAGCAACCCTGTGCAGAGCTTCTAAGTAATGGCTGGTGGGTTTGAACTACCAACCTTGTAGTTCGTAGTCTTTGATTAAAAATTTTTAAGTTGATGTGGTGAAATAAGCTCTAAAGCTATCTAGGGCTGCTCTGATTGCAAAAAGGGTAAAAAGGGGGAGAACTTACACTGTCAGATAACAACATGGGCTATATAGTAAGTGAAACAATATGATCTTTTCTCCAAAGCAAAACCATAGAGTAGTAGAATCAAATCAACCGTTGACAATTTAACAAATACTTGTGTGTGTAAAGAGACTGGATCATATGACGACATCAGGAGACAAATGGACAGTAGAAACAGATCTTTTTGTGACACTTAAAGTAAAAGGAGCCCTGGTGGCACTGTGGGATCAGCATTGGACTGCTTAACCACATAGTTGCCAGTTGAAACCCACCGGCTGCTCTGTGGGAGAAAGATGAGGCTTTCTGTTCCTGTAAAGACTGACAACCTTGGAAGCCCTATACAGGGTCACTATGAGTTGAAATTAACTTGTTGGCAGTGGGGTTTTGTTTCTTGGTAGAGTTAAGGAGTCCTGGTGTGGCGCTGTGGGCTAATGCGCCAGACTCCAAAGTCGGTTTAAACTGCAAGGGCCGGTGGTTCAAGCTCACCAGCTGTTCCTTGCAAACCCTATATAGGGTCGCTATGGGTTGGAATCGACTCGACGACACTTAACAACAACAACAGTTATGATTAGTGTGCCCAAGAAAATGTGAATAGATTAAATGTAAAGGAGAATTTCTTCATGTAATTGAAATCTATAAATAAGAATTAGCTGTCTCTATAGCAGTTTGAACACAGGAAAAGACAGGCTTAGTAAACTGGAAAGTTGTTGTTAAGTGCTGCCAAGTCCGTTCCAATGCATAGCAACCCTGTATAGGTTTTTCAAGGAGTTGCTGGTGAGTTTCAACTGCCACTTTGCTGTTTAAACCATCCTTGCAGTCCAATGCATTAACCCGCAGTGCCATACTGGAAAGTAGACATTAGAAAATATCTAAACAATAGTATAAAGGAAAGTCAGATATATACCAGAAAAGACCATAAAAAGTATGTGGGAAACGGAAAAATGGTCTCATATGTGATTGGCGTCATCTCTCAGGAAACGAGAGACAGAATGGTGTGGCATCAGGTGTCTGAAGGAAGAACGGCAGGGAATGTGTCAAACTGCACAGTACACGCTGTGGCTTTGCCATTTGAGGATGTTGACCCAACGAGGTGTTCCAGTATGAGGGAAGGAGGTATGGTGAGCCACGATGAGGTGGCCAGAACTACCACCCCTCTGGCCCCCTGACCTCCATAAGCTGCTGTAAACTCCTCCGCTGAGTATTCCACTGCAGTGGTGGTGAGTCTTCAGGAATGAATGATCATTCAGACCCGGTGCCCAGTAAGCCCAGAAAAGCCTGATGATTGATTGCCCTTCTCCACTGCGCGCTCATTGTGACAATGGCTACATGATAGTTTCCACTGGGGAAGGCTAAGAGCAAGACTTAGAGTATGCACTTCTGGTAGGGTTGCAGGCCCTTTTGCTCTTTCCTTCAGGAGGGGAGGCTCAGGGTCTAGGACTTGGTTGGAGAGCAGTGGTATTCTTTTGTGGTGATTCAGGTCAGACTGCTGTTCGGTAGACCTGGACCAAGTTAGACATTAGAAGACTGCTGTCTCTGTCAGCCTGGCATACCATGGCTCTTATGCTAAGACACCTCGTCATACCAGACATCCCGAATACCACTTGAGTCCTGCTGCCTACTGCTGTCACTTTGGAAGCCCAGTTTGATGACTCAGTGCTCATGGTCATTCATGGCCAATAGAGATGAACTCAATGCAGAGACATCTTCAAAATGCTTGTGGTAAGATGAGGTTCGCTGACATAACCATGTTCAGCCCTGCCCACTTCAGAACTAGTAAATCAAAATTCCTTTCTAACACAGAGGTGCATGGGAAGAGAAACTGTGGGAAGATCACTCAGTACGGTCAGGATGGGACGATGGGGACAATTACAAAAGAGACGGCTCTCAGAAACGAGAAGCAATTGCTGAACAATACACTTGTTTTTGTTTTTTAAAAAATGAGAAGTTCCAGAGTTATGAAAGTAATAATAACTATTCAGACTAACCCTGCTTCATTTAAAGTGTAGGAAAACTGATTAAAGTGTAGTTGAACCACAGATGAAGATCATGGCCAAATCCCGTTTTACTAAAATTATCGTAAAAGAAGCAAATACATGAAAAATACAGACAAGGAAAGCATACTAGAAAGATAAGTGTGAAATTTTCTTGAACTGTAGCTTGCTCTCTCAAAATGAACTAATATAAAGTCATAGATGCCATGAAAGAACAACATAAATCAGAAGTTTAACAAACTTTTGTAATGGGAGAAAAGAAAGCTGTGAATAGATATACTGGTACTTAATGGAAGAATGAGCTACAAAAGAAAACATATATTTAAAAAATAAAGCCTAATCCAGAAACAACACAATGGGATCGTATTTTCAAGAGGAGTAGAAGGAGAAGTAATGTTTTAATGAAAAATATATGAAGACAGAAAAAGGATTTGAGAGAAAATTGTATATAGAAGATTAAACGTACATATTATATATCAGTGAAGAAGAAAGCTAGACCAATGGAATGAAACAACTCTCCGGTCTGTTCTAGCTAACTGTTTGCTACACCAATTGTATTAAACCAGTTCAGAGAAGCTGAGATAAATGTGTGGTGGATAATAAATCCCACTACACATGCCTAGTGCATTCTGTAGAAATCTAAGCTTCCCTTTCTCATCCCATTGACCAGGGGTTAGGTTAGCATGCACTAGCCTCTTCTCTGTATCCTAGATTCACTAACTCCAGGGGAAGGGGGCTGTCTTTAATCTGGCTGGGATGAAAAAGGAGTTATCAACACATAGGACAAGTTCCAGGAGGGATCTCGGCGTGCAGAGCTCTCCTGCTAAGACCAGATACTTGCTCTGTTCCCCCAGAACGGCATCATCTTCCAGGCATTTGTTGGTCTCATGTGTCATAGCCGTGATAGGTCACATCCTGTCTTCTGAGACCCAGTCAGAATTGGCAGTCCCTCTTGGGCTATTCAGGCCCTGCTCACTGGCCTCGTATGTGGTCCAACTATTAGGACCAGGCCCCAAGGCCAGATTGTTTACTGCAAGGCATTCCACACCTTGCAGTAACAAATATTAAAAAGTGCATTTGCAGAAAATGTGAATCAACTAAAAAACAACTGCCTCATATATCTGGGAAGCCGGTCTCCTTCCACATGGCTCTGTCTCTAGCAGCCTAGCTGTTAGCCGGCTCTTTCAGCTGCAACTTTTTCCTAGTTATTAACCAGCCCAGATCGGATCTGGAAGCTCTCTCATTGGCAGCATTTGGGTTCCTTTCCCATTAGACCTGGGATGGGCTTCAATTTCCCAAAGGACACACTCCCCTCCCAAGTCCTGTCAAAAAGGAGACCTTGAAAACCTCTCATTTCAGTCCTCCAAGCCATCCATTCATCATGAGTTACAAGGCAAACTTCCCTCATCAGATCCAAGTTTGACCAATCCTCAGTTACCCATGAAATGTCACTAACCCAGGGATTGTACACAAAAATAGCATTTTCTGCAAAAGCCCTCTGGGGTGTAAAACCACGTGGGAGGCTCCCCAAATTGCTTCTCCAAAGTACTATGGCAAAAGACCACATGAGTTAACTCACTGACCACACAACTATTTGTTGGGTTACCCTGCACAGTGGCTACAGTGGTGAAAGAGTTCAAAGACAGGGTCCCTAAGCTCTGAGGTCGGTAAGATCAGAGGCTGGTGTATATAAATGAGTGTTGGCACCTGTGAGTACACTGGAACTCCTAGAGGAAGAATGGGGCCAGGCCAAGGGTGTTGAGAGGAGTTTAACCAGTGGGGGCGCTGTGCCAGTTTGGAGTGTGTTGTGAGGTGAGGGGCAGCCCCTTTAGGGCTACTTGGTTGGAGTGGATTCCTCCCCTTTGGGAGGGTGGTGAGCAGTTCAGGGGTAGCAGTTGTAGAGAATGAACAACAGCTCCGATGAGGCAACCACAGGTAGATGGACATGGTCCAGGGTTCCCGGGAAGATGTGATGAATTCAAGTGTAAGAAGGAAACTAGTTTGACATAACTTAAGCCTGCCCTGGGTACTCTTGGCATAGGCCCACAGACAAACCATCATGTCTTTCAGTGCCAAGCTCCATCCACAGCTAGCATCTGACTGCCCTCAGCGTGGATGACTCTGCCTGCGTCTCACTGAACCTCAATATGCCTTCTCCTTCCCTCAGCCTTCCCTTTATTCTGACCTTACCTGTGTTTCTTGTGACTCTTTAGGAATTGGATGGCCTCTTAGAAATCAACCGCATGACCCACAAGCTACTGAGCAAGTACCTGACACTGGACAGCTTTGATGCCATGTTTCGTGAAGGCAACCACAACGTGTCGGCGCCCTATGGAAGAATCACTCTCCATGTCTTCTGGGAGCTCAACTACGATTTCCTGCCCAATTACTGTTACAATGGCTCCACCAACCGGTGAGTGTGACCTCGAGATTGCTCATGGAGGGTCTGAAGGCCCCTGTTGTTAAGTGCTGTTGAGTTGGTTCTCACTCATCCCGAGAAGCGACTGGTGAGTTTGAACCGCCAGTCTTGCAGTTCAAACTGACCTTGAGGTTGAATGCTTTTACTATGGTGCCAGGTAGTATATATGTGTTGATTGCTTTGGACAGTATGGACATTTTCACAATGTTAACTCTCCCTATCCAGGAGCATGGTCTATTCTTCCATTGTTGTAAGTCTTTTGGTTTCTTTTGTAGTAGTGTTTTGTAATTTTCTTTGCATAAGTCCTTTGTTTCTCTGGTTACATTTATTCCTAAATATTTCATCTTATGGGTGGCTATTGTAAATGGTATTGCTTTCCTAATTTCCTTTTCAGTGTTATCATTATTATACAGGAATGCAACTGACTTTTTGTATGTTGATCTTGTACTCTATCACTTTGCTGAATCTTCCAGTGAGGTCTAGTAGTTTGTTTGTTTTTTTGCTGCGTTTTTTGGGTTTTCTATATATAGGATTATATCATCTACAAATAGAGAGAGCTTTACTTCCTCTTTGCCAATTTGGATGCCTTTAATTTCCCTGTTTTGCCTTATAGCTCTGGCTACGACTTCCAGCACAGTAATGAATAGGAGTGGTGATAAAGGGCATCCTTGTCTGGTTCCTGTTCACAAAGGGAAGGCTGTCAGTTTCTCTCCACTGACAGTGCTGTTGGTGCCAGATAGTGTGTAAACGGAAGATCTCACACAGTTAGCTTTGTCCACAGGCTTCCTGTGTCCACCAGACCATTGTCTTCCCTTCTCCCTCTGTTCCCTGCTAGCTCTCTTATCCAGAATACTTGGGCCCTAATGGACGCTTCCCATTGGAAGAAAAGCTCTGATCAGACCTATGGGCACATGGGCATAGGTTTGAACAACAGATTGAGTGACCTGTCCATAGTTTGAACCTGGGCAGGTGGACCTTCAGATCTGGTCTGTAGACTGATACATCCCACCTTTCAGTTTCAAGTATACCTGACATTGGAATGTGCCAAATGATTCTTTACCCTATGTGTTCCTATATTGAAATGTTGGTTGGAGGAAGAGTGAATCTCTTGGTTAACCTTCTGCCCACTTCTGAAAGTTTCGCCAATGGAAAGCTTATGAATAGGAGAAGACCATTATTTGATATAGTACCAGAAGATGAGCCCTCTGGGTTGGGAGGCACTCAAAATATGACTGGGGAAGAGTTTAATGGTGTAAATGGAAGAAAGCTTTCTTAAGGGGCAGAACTCAAAATAAGAAGAAACAGATGTAAACATTTATTAATAATTGACCATGGAATGTATGAAATATGAATTTAGGAAAATTGGAAGCCATCCAAAACTAAAAGGAACTCACCTAGCTTCAGGACTGATAAGCAGGATCAGCAGTCAGGCTGCTAACAGCTCTAGGATCCGTTGAATCCTGCACCCTCCAGCACTTAGATGTTTTAGCAATAAGTCTAGAGCCATTGATACTTCTTCCTCACTAGGTCCAGTCAGCATAGTGTCATCAGTGTAATGGACCAGTGGACATCTTGTGACAGGAAAATAAAATCAAAGTCCCTGCAGAGTAAATTATGACATTGTGCTGAGGAGTTGTTATAGCTCTGTGGTAAGACAGTGGAGGTGTCATGATTAAGAACCAATGAAATTGAAAGAAGTCCAAGCTGTACTGAAGGCACTGGCAAAAAAAAAAAAAAAAAGCTCCAAGAATTTATGGAATGTAAATTGAATTATTTTAACAAACTGATGAAATGTGCACTCATTTGTGCCTAGGTATTTGGAAAACAACTACATGGTCAACTGCTTACACACAAGTTTAGGTTGATGCTGAAGGAAATTAAAACAAGGAACTTGAAAATATCCCACTTCAATTTAGAGACCACCTTAATTTAGAGATTTGATGCATTAGACATTAATGACTGAAGACAAGAAGAGTTGAGGGATGACATAAAGAACATCATACAGGAGGGGGAAATAAGGCCATTAAAAAGACAGGAAAGAGAGAGAGAACAAACAAGATGGTGGATCGGGCAGCATTGCAATGAGGAGCTCCGTCAGCAACAACACAGAATACCGGACCAAGCAGGCTCAGGGGATGGTGCGAGAACTCTGAACCACATATAAAGGAATATTTACAAGGTTGGAAGGCTTACAGTTAGAGCAATTTGTAACAGATGCAAGAAATCCAGTGCTTTCTAATTCAAGACACTGTGCTGCTCCTGAGGCCAAGCAGGGGAAGGATCAGAGCAGCCACGGACATCAGGAAGAACTGCGGAGATAAAGGTGTGGACGTTTTTTGTTGTTGTTGTTGTTGTTGTTTTGTATCTGTTCACTGGTCTCTCACTGTCTGCGCACCTCCATTCTGGTGACTACAGGGGCTGCCTGGGCAACTGGACACCCCACCCCCATCCCCAGAGGGTTCTACTACGCATGTACACGATCTCAAAATTTAAAGTGACAGTTTCCACTTAAAACCAGTGGCAGCGTAAAACTGCCACAGCTGGCCCTGAACTGTTTATCACTAGGAAAAAGGCCTGAAAGGGGATTGTGGAGCAGGAGAGGCAGACTGAAAAGGAAATAGGCCGAAAATTAAATCCTGAGTTATATCACAATGACCAACATGTCATCTTGAAATTTCTCATGAAGAAGAGTGAAAAGGGCAGCCCATCTCCTAATCACATCTACCTGGAGGCAATCAGAAAGCATAAAAAATTCTAAAATACACATCCATCTAAGTATTAAGGCCACAGATAACTCCTGAATATGCCCAAAAACAGACACGATGACCATATCAGCACATGTCCAGAAACAAGATAAAGTGAATGAGGCAAATGAACTAGAAG